ATGTAAATATTTGTTTTTGTTGTTTTTTTACGTATAAACTGAAAGGCACTTTGACGCGTTGGAAAACAAGGCGTGGTTCTCATGTTCTGATCCATAGAAACCTTTGATTATTGACTTGTAAATACGAGGAGAGATGAGGAAGTGTGGGGAGATGTGAGGGAGCCACCCCCTCGGGCAACAACTGTTTACTCTGTGTGGAATAAGTCCGAGATAAACGAGAGATGTGCTGTATGTGACATCACTGTGTGTCTCCTGGAAAGTACAACATCTAGAAGTTGGAAAGTTTAGTGATTATCAGTCCGTCTCTATCATCCAGTGTACTTCTGTCAAACCCATGTTGTTCAGGGGCCGAATAAAAGTGGTTTTATAAGTGGAAAGTTCAGACAATTTTATACATTTGTTTGTTACATCATTACTTTGTCAAAAAGAACTTCCTGACGCCTTCTCAGAGTCCACAGGGCGAAACGCTAAGACAGCAAAAGTATCCTCCATCCATAGATATCTGTACGGCTCATCATTAAACATGGCGTCCTCTAAATCAGGCATGTCCACGCTGAGGTCCGGGGGCTCAATGCGGCCCTGTCTGTCCTGTTCTGTGGCCCTCTGCCGCAAACACAGTCCACAGTGTCTTCCAGCCAACTTCAGCTCCACCACTACATGCATGCTGTACTTCTTTAGAACGCTCCAGAATCCAGCCCTTGACTTTATTGTCTATACAGACCATAGAGAGACCTCTCTGGTCTCTCTATGGTCTTTCTCTGGTCTCTCTCTGGTCTCTCTCTGGTCTCTCTCTCTGGTCTCTCTCTGGTCTCTCTCTGGTCTCTCTCTGGCCTCTCTCTGGCCTCTCTCTGGCCTCTCTCTGGTCTCTCTCTGGCCTCTCTCTGGTCTCTCTCTGGTCTCTCTCTGGTCTCTCTCTGGCCTCTCTCTGGTCTCTCTCTGGCCTCTCTCTGGCCTCTCTCTGGCCTCTCTCTGGTCTCTCTCTGGCCTCTCTCTGGCCTCTCTCTGGCCTCTCTCTGGTCTCTCTCTCTGGTCTCTCTCTGGCCTCTCTCTGGCCTCTCTCTGGTCTCTCTCTCTGGCCTCTCTCTGGCCTCTCTCTGGTCTCTCTCTGGTCTCTCTCTCTGGCCTCTCTCTGGTCTCTCTCTGGTCTCTCTCTCTGGCCTCTCTCTGGCCTCTCTCTGGCCTCTCTCTGGTCTCTCTCTCTGGCCTCTCTCTGGCCTCTCTCTGGCCTCTCTCTGGTCTCTCTCTGGTCTCTCTCTGGTCTCTCTCTGGCCTCTCTCTGGTCTCTCTCTGGTCTCTCTCTCTGGCCTCTCTCTGGTCTCTCTCTGGTCTCTCTCTCTGGCCTCTCTCTGGCCTCTCTCTGGCCTCTCTCTGGTCTCTCTCTCTGGCCTCTCTCTGGCCTCTCTCTGGCCTCTCTCTGGCCTCTCTCTGGTCTCTCTCTGGCCTCTCTCTGGCCTCTCTCTGGCCTCTCTCTGGCCTCTCTCTGGTCTCTCTCTCTGGCCTCTCTCTGGTCTCTCTCTGGCCTCTCTCTGGTCTCTCTCTGGCCTCTCTCTGGCCTCTCTCTGGCCTCTCTCTGGTCTCTCTCTCTGGCCTCTCTCTGGCCTCTCTCTGGCCTCTCTCTGGCCTCTCTCTGGCCTCTCTCTGGTCTCTCTCTGGTCTCTCTCTCTGGCCTCTCTCTGGTCTCTCTCTGGTCTCTCTCTCTGGCCTCTCTCTGGCCTCTCTCTGGTCTCTCTCTCTGGCCTCTCTCTGGCCTCTCTCTGGCCTCTCTCTGGCCTCTCTCTGGCCTCTCTCTGGTCTCTCTCTGGCCTCTCTCTGGCCTCTCTCTGGCCTCTCTCTGGCCTCTCTCTGGCCTCTCTCTGGCCTCTCTCTGGCCTCTCTCTGGCCTCTCTCTGGTCTCTCTCTGGCCTCTCTCTGGCCTCTCTCTGGTCTCTCTCTCTGGTCTCTCTCTGGCCTCTCTCTGGTCTCTCTCTGGCCTCTCTCTGGCCTCTCTCTGGTCTCTCTCTCTGGCCTCTCTCTGGCCTCTCTCTGGATGCCCCTGGTGGTGGTGGTGGTGAACTGCACTCTCCCTCACAATCAGAATGTACTCCCTCTCTCCCCCTCGCTGGTTTTCTGGGCACAGACGTGTTCGGCTGTCTGCCCTTTTATACAAGTGGCTCTGTGCGCGACGGCTATGCTAGTTTATATTAGCTCCTTGTTAGCGTATCGTCTGCTCCTCGTTAGCGGCTCATTAACAAAACATTTGCGCATCAACGTTCACTCCTCTTCAGTCTCACAGATCCGTGGAAACAAACTTAACCACTGTGAATTATTCATGGGTAAAAACATACAACGGTTTTCATTAGCCATGTTAGCCACACCCCCTCTCTCTGATCTCTCTCTCGTGTACATTGAATTGAAGCTAGCATGGAGCTAAACCTGAGCTAGCAGCAGTATGGAGCTAACAGCTAGCACGAAGCTAACAGCCGCTGCGCCCAGAGCCTCACATTGTTTCTTTATGCATGAGTAGTTTTGCCATTCTCGTATACATTTGGTCCAGTCCTGGGCATTGATACTGTACGTCAATATGCAATATATGAGGAACCAATCAGAGGAAGCGGGACGACCCAAGTGCCTGAGGCGACGGGGTCCGCTCCTTCTAATGCATGCCCCAACTTTTATAGTCCACCGCTCTAAATTGGTACCGAACTTTTGTACATTTGTTTTTACACTTGACATAAATACACTTTGTGGGTTACTCCTCCTCACCTTTTCTAGACAAATTGTGCTTTTCTAAAAAGGACTATGACGAAGCAATAACCGTCTGCATGAAGACGTCAGCCGCGAGAAGACGTTTGTACAGTGTTTTTCAGATCTGCTTTATTATGATTGTACATGTGTTTACTTTAGCAGATGTCGACTTATGTAAGAGTTTATACACTGAGGACGTGGCCATGTCCCTGTGTCCCTGTCCCCAGCTCTGTCCCTGTGTCCCTGTCCCATTGACTGCATACAATGCTAACCCACTAGCACACACAACAGCAACTATAGCCACGTTAGCCATGTTAGCCATGTTAGCCACATAAGCCATGTTAGCCATATTAACCAGATAAGTATTATTATTATTAAAATGAACGGGAAATGTATCTGTAAAGTCATGGTCCCTCCCCTCGTGACACATCCCTCTCCCCTCCGTGATATTGCTCCTCCCCCTCAGTGGTATGGCCCCTCCCCCTAAGTGACATGGCCCCTCCCCCCCAGTGACATGGCTCCCCCTCCTCAGTACCATAGCTCCTCCCCCTCCGTGACATGGCTCCTCCCCCTCCGTGACATGGCTCCTCCCCCTCAGTGACATGGCTCCTCCCCTACTCACGTCCACAGTGACTGAATGTACAGTGTACAGACGCAAATGGAGAATAAAAATGTTTTTGTCCAGATCTGTTTTCTCCTCTTTTCACTCAAGCACAAACATCACACACACACACACACACACACACACACACACACACACACAACACATTCATTCACCCTGAACTATTGTACATGTTTTTAGTGGTAGGGGAAACTGGAGCACCCAGAGGAAACCTACACAGACATCGGGAGAACATGCAAACTCCACTCAAAAAGACCCTGTTCCGACTGGGATTCAAACCCAGGACCTTCTTGCTGAGAGGCGAGAGGGCTATCCACTCAGCCACTGTATCACCCAAGACACAAAGAAAGAGAGAGAGACCAGAGAGGGACCAGAGAGAGACCAGAGAGAGACCAGAGAGGGACCAGAGAGAGACCAGAGAGAGACCAGAGAGGGACCAGAGAGAGACCAGAGAGGGACCAGAGAGAGACCAGAGAGAGACCAGAGAGGGACCAGAGAGGGACCAGAGAGAGACCAGAGAGAGACCAGAGAGAGACCAGAGAGAGACCAGAGAGAGACCAGAGAGAGACCAGAGAGAGACCAGAGAGAGACCAGAGAGGGACCAGAGAGGGACCAGAGAGAGACCAGAGAGAGACCAGAGAGAGACCAGAGAGAGACCAGAGAGAGACCAGAGAGAGACCAGAGAGAGACCAGAGAGAGACCAGAGACATATTTACAAATGGAATGGTTCATGTTTGTCTTTGTGAATTGCAGATTGTCACCTTGAACAGTCTCAGTCGTCTCCTGGGACGGGCTGTGGCTGTGGTCGTACCTCTGGGCTCATAAATCCTGGGAGCGCTTGATTTAGAGACTAGAGTGAGACCAGAGAGAGCGAGAGAGACTAAAAAGAGAGAGGGACCAGAGAGAAAAGGTTCACCCTCACTGGTAGATGTTGTGTCTCTGGTCCCTCATCCCTGTGGTCTCTGGTCTCCTTTCCCTCTGGTCCCTCTCTGGTCTCTCTCTGGTCTCTCTCTGGTCTCCTTTCCCTCTGGTCTCTCTCTGGTCTCTCTCTGGTCCCTCTCTGGTCCCTCTCTGGTCCCTCTCTGGTCCCTCTCTGGTCTCTCTCTCTGGTCTCTCTCTGGTCCCTCTCTGGTCCCTCTCTGGTCTCTCTCTCTGGTCTCTCTCTGGTCCCTCTCTGGTCCCTCTCTGGTCTCTCTCTCTGGTCTCTCTCTGGCCTCTCTCTGGCCTCTCTCTGGTCTCTCTCTGGTCTCTCTCTGGTCTGTCTCTCTGGTATCTCTCTCTGGTGTCTCTCTCTGGTCTTGCTCTCTGGTCTTGCTCTCTGGTCTCTCTCTCTGTTCTCTCTCTGGTCTCTCTCTGGTCTCTCTCTGGTCTCTCTCTGGTCTCTCTCTGGTCTCTCTCTGGTCTCTCTCTGACCTCTCTCTGGCCTCTCTCTGGTCTCTCTCTGGTCTCTCTCTGGTCTCTCTCTGGTCTCTCTCTGGTCTCTCTCTCTGGTCTCTCTCTGGTCTCTCTCTGGCCTCTCTCTGGTCTCTCTCTGGTCTCTCTCTGGTCTCTCTCTCTGGTCTCCCTCTGGTCTCTCTCTGGTCTCTCTCTGGTCTCTCTCTGGTCTCTCTCTGGTCTCTCTCTGGTCTCTCTCTGGTCTCTCTCTGGTCTCTCA